CTCATCTGTAAGGCATTGACCATCTGAAGCCTAAATGGATTTCCCATTATTCCCATTATTCCCATTATTCCCATTATTCTGGCCGGGGAAGGAAGAAGGGCTTCATTACCAGCGAGCAATGATCCTTCCGGGCCGAATGGACGACCACATTTTTCCACAATATGTAGTTACTTTTCTGAGTTTACTCTCACACCAAGAGAATCTATTATGACATACATCTTTGTAGTTGAGGAAAATGATTTTCCCAGAGTCACGTCCGTCCCAATTGAGATGGCGTATTTGTAACTGGAGCCAGGCCTGTCCCCTCATGTCCTCTCCAACTAGCTGCCTCCAAAGAGCCATTTCCCATCACACTTTTGAGGGCCAGCTTCTAACTAGAATTTTATCTGAGTTTATTGCAGTTAAGAAGATAAGATTGAGTCCATAGGAGGTCACTTTAGTGAAATGTTTTTTCCAACCGCAAGGCAGAATTGGTATGAGGTGGAACAAAATACAAAGTGCCAAGAATCATCACATAGAATAAGGCACCATTTTGTTTCTTAACCATTGCATTGGTCCACACATAGGTGTAAATAGGCTAGGCCATAACATAGAATTTATTTATTTTTACTTTGGTCCACAGTCAAAATGTTTAAAAGTCAGTGTTTTGTGGGGAGAGTCCAGGCTTTGGCATCAAAGATGGGTCTGCATCTGAATGCTAGGCATGCTGCTGTGATTACCTAGAGAATTCCTGGGACAGGAGCCCAGCCAATCCCCTTCTGCTCAGACTACTTGTGAGACCAAAGTAAGATCCCTTTTCTCAAATATTAATCCCCTTTACAGTGGCTACTGGAACCTTCTTATTGGTAACAAGACTACTTACATTATAATTTAAGAAGAAAAGAAAAAGCTTGACTCATCTAACCAGTGTATATCAATGATTAGCCTAAACTCTATGAGGGCAGGAATCAACCCTATTTCCCTAACGCTCAGGCTAGAGCTTTTAAACAGTAGGAACTCAATGAATATCTGTATTGTAACAATAATGGAATAAATAAGACTGAATGAACCAGTGGACGACTGTTCTACAGCAGACACTGGAGATACAGAAATGAACAAGGCATAAATCTGGGCCTTTAAGAAAATGACTATATATATATACACACACACACATATATATAGTAATTATAGTCACTATATACATATACATGAATGTATAGATATATTTACTTAATTCATGTTTTCAACAAATATTTATTTAGAAGCTACTATTTTCTGGGTACTTTGCTAGGCACTGCAGTAAACAAAACAACCATATTTGTTCCATACAGGTGAAAATACACTATGTAATAATAATCATACAAACAGCCATAGCATGAAATTGAAGTGCTTTGCGGGGTACCATAAAATCATATCACAGCAAGGCCTAACCTGGATGCACAAGAGAGCGAGGGAGGACTCGGAAAAGCAGCTCCATGAGGAAACTACATTTAGCCTGAGTTTGAGGGTTAAAAGCTAGAAGCTCTTTGCTCCCCTGTTAACTGACATAGAAGCATGGAACAGACTGACGCATCTCAGAGGGAAGGCGGGGATGGGTGGGAGGGGGAGAGATGAACCAAAGAACTTAGATGCATATATGCACGACCCATGGACACAGACAATAGTGTGGGGAAGGCCTGGGGCGGGGTGGAAGGGGCCAGTGGTGGGAAAAGGGGGACATCTGTAATACTTTCAACAATAAAGATAAATTAAAAAAAAAAAAAGAGGGAATAGAGAAAGGACCAATGTAGCTCAACAGACTGAACAGAAGGAAACAAGAAGGGATAAAGTGAGAGAGGAAGAAAGGAGCCAAATCACGAAGAGCCTAAATCCTCCCTAAGGATTCTGAGCAAAGGGAGGCTGGAAATGCACCGCTCACATGTGCATTCTCTAAAGATCATTGGGCTGTCCTATGGATAGCAGCTTTGAGGAAGAAATAATCGTAGAAGCTGTTAGGAGACAATTTGAAGGAAATTTCAGAAAGCCAAAGGGGCACAGATATCATCTTAGAGATGGCAGCGTAAGGTGAGAAGTGTCCAAAATTAAGGTGATCTTGGACACAGATTCAAGAACAGAACTTGGTAACAAATTAAATTCAGAAGATGGTGCATGGTAAGGCCAAGGGAGGCACTGAGGAGAACATTCGGGTTTGGGGTTGACCAACCATTTGGAAGAAAGAGAAGCAATGGGGTGGACTGAAAACAATTTTTTTGTTGTGAATGATCAAAACAGCAATATAGGACATATTAATTTTGAAGTGCCTATAGGATGTCCAGATCATCACGAAGACACTTAATATCAGGTCTGAGGGTCAGAGGAGAGATCTAGGACCCAGGGCCAATATTTCAGAGACTCCAAGTCTTTACAAATTAGAGTAAGAAGAACCAATGGAGAGAATGGAGAGGATACAAGGATGGAGGAGGTAGGGGAATGTGCAGTCATGAAACCCAAGGAAAGAGGTGATATCCAGTGNTGGAGATGTAGGGGAATGTGCAGTCATGAAACCCAAGGAAAGAGGTGATATCCAGTGTGAAGGATTAGAAGCCACATGCTCTGAAAGGATCTCCAAGGACTGAATCAACCTGCATTGGTGACCTAAACAAGAACTAGATCACTAGCAATAGTAAAGGAAGAAGCTAGAACGTGAAGGTTGAAGCATCAATGGAAGGTGGGAGAACTAGTCATAGACGCAAACGGTTTCAACAGTGTGTTATATGTTATACTCAAGCATGCTCAAAATTCCACAGAAGCCCAGAATGGGCTGAAGAAGTTTTCCAGCAGGAAACGACATTCAAACTGGGCCTTAAAGACTTAGGAAGAATGTATTCACGTGTAAGCCTAAAGAGGAGCCTTCTGTTTAGGCGGAACAGCATTAGAAATACTGAAAAAATAACAACAATCAAGATAATATTGATGGATACTATTTCTAAGTGTTTACCATGCGTTAGAGACTGTTATAAAAGTTTCATAGGTATTAATTCGCCTAAGCTGCAAAACCGACCTTGTCCTACTGTGACCATCATCTCTTGGTTGGACCATTACAATAGCCTAGCAGCTGGATTGCCTGCTGCTGTACTTGCCTCCTGGTTTATCCTCATAGAACAGATAAAGTGACCTTTTAGAACAAACATCAGATGTCATCCCTCTGCCACGCTCTCCAGAGGCTTTCCCTTTGGTCAAAAAACAAAGGCCCTTTATTACCAAGTGCCCCACTGCTTCCTTTATCTTACCGCCTGTTCTCTCCATCACATTGCTGCAGATAGTCATCCTGGATATTTCTCCAACATCTCAAGCAAGTTTCTGTCTCTGAGCCTTTGCACTTGCTATTGTTTCCTTCTGTCTGGACGGCTTGTTCTTGAATAGTCACATGGTTTAAACATCTCACTTCCTTCACGTCTCTGTTCAGAGTCACCTGATCAGCAAGGCCATCTCTGACCAATCTATAACAACACTCTCCCAAATCTTCAGGCACACTTATCCTCTCTGTCCATCTTCTCCATGATATTTATCATAATCGGATATATTTTATAATTATGTATTTTTTTATTGCCTGTCTCCCCCATCTAAAATTCAATAGACGCTCCACAAGGGTAGAGACTATCATTTCTAGTCACTGATATGTCCTCAGAGATGAGTACAGCTCTTGATGTATATGAAGCTCTGGAAGCGTCTGAGATTTTACCCTACTTGAAAGCTAACAAGTTAGCCTGCCACGGTTAAATGGATGCTGGCAGAAGACACGAACTCCTGGGTCAGAGACAAGAGACTTAATTATTCAACGGCCACAGTCAGAGTGTCAGCATTTGTTTCAGGTCCCAGGGTGATGTGAAGAGGGCCCAGTGGTACCTGGACAGAAAGTGCAGTGTTGGCAAGAGTAGGATGTCTAGTTTTTAAAAAATCTCAAATCTTTTTAAAAGGGCACTATCCCTACCTAAGCTTTGCCCTGGGGGGAGAGAGTATCTTTATTACACTAAACATAAACAAACCTCCCCTTCATTCCAGAGGGGAACTATTCCTCTCTCCAAGGCCATTCGTTATACAAACACTCTTGAGAAGATGGGCTGAAACACAGGCAGGCAGTGCCTCTAGTCACAAGGCATGCAAAACATGAGAGTAGGGAATTGTTTCCCAATGACATGTAGTAGACACAGTACATATTTCTGAATGAAAGATCAACACTTTGAGTTAGGTGCTGTTATTATTTCAGTACTCAGATGAATAAATTGAGACACAGCAAAAGTATGCTACATCTCCAATATCATAGAGCTAGTAAGTGTCTCTGGCAAATAAGCATGCGCACACACACACACACACACACACACACACACACACACCCCTCAAGGAAGTGAGTCCTCCTTGTCTCTAACCTGCCCCTCTGTCGGCTACTTGAGGCTTTGTGAATGGGTGACAGAAAAATAGAGAAACAATCAAAAGGGGGAAAGCTGAAGAAAAGCAAGAAAGAATGGAGAGGGCTTTTTGAAAAAATACCCACACCAGTTCAGATATCCAGAACTACAGAGTACAAGGGACCTTTGAGTTCACCTAACAGAAGAAAAAAACGGGGGCTGAGGAAAGGAAAGGCTTCCCCAAATCACAGAGGAGGCTAGGGAGAGAGCCAACTAACGAACTAGCAGAGCTCTTGTCCTGACGGGATGTTGGCCTTGCACCTTTCAGGCCATGGCATGCCTTTCTGCTTTCTTACACAGGTGATGTCACCCAACCCTGGAGGCCAGGCTGCGCTGCGAAGTCAATGAATAACCCCGGAGACCTGTGACANTTCTTACACAGGTGACGTCACCCAACCCTGGAGGCCAGGCTGCGCTGCGAAGTCAATGAATAACCCCGGAGACCTGTGACACAGGGCAGCAGGTGGAGCCTGGGCTGCCACCCTGCCTATATAACCCTTCCTGTCCAAGGGTTCTGAAGAGAACTGGTAAGTTCAGTGCGGTTTTCAGCTGAGTTCCGAACACAAAACTTCAGCCATGAAGATAGTGGCGATCTTTCTTCTCAGTGCCTTGGCCCTGTTGAGTTTATCTGGTAGGTACCTTTGCATATTTTTTCTGATTTGAATAAAACCTTTGGATCTGTTGCTTTACTGGGCGCATTATCTTCTAGACTTAGGATCTAGTCTTCAACAAAACTTTTGGTCCCAGTGAGATGAAGTAAGATCAATGGATGAGAATTCTAGAAAGAGGAATTTTAATATAAAAGAAAGAAAACAATTTTTTAACATTGCTTATGAAAGGAGACTTAAAGATAATTGCAAAAGTTAGTTTTACATCAGAAGGCCTGGTTACTGCTGGTTGTGTTTGACAGCCAGCTATATAAACTCCATGGGTAAACTGAGATGAAGATACTTATATTTCCTATATCACTGGTGGTGAGATCGAAGGTCTAAGTAACTGGCTGTGGGGATGTCAGTGAGCATTCAGAAGATATCCGTTCAGTGCCTGATACATTTCAGGCAGTAAACACATCATTTCTATTTTCAAGGCCATGGGTCAACTTTTTGGAAATACCAAATTGAGATGCTTTGGTCACAATCACATTTTTGCTTAATTTTTTGAGGTTTCAACAGGTAGGGAGTGAGTGGACACCAATGAGACGTCCTTCAGAGAAAACAGCAGTAAGAAGGTGTGGGGAATGGAAGAGGCTGGCAGAGAGGTCATGGTCTTAAACGGAAGCAGAGAATTCTGAGCGAAACAGGTCTAGCTTCTCCCATTCAGGACCCAACTTCACATGTCTGATTTATGTTTTCTAGCTAACGCTAAAGCTGACGTTCCAGGAACAAAGGTAAAGACAATTTTGTAATCTCTTATTTCTCAGGACAGAACTGTTGGTTTCAATCACAGTCTAGTGGACACCTTTCAGTTTAGCCTAAAGTCAAGACGAATGAATGCTAGCAAGGCTCAACCTCTTAATGCAGATACTAACAGCAGTTCCCCCACAGGGTCTCATGTTGAAGGACAAATTCAGTGATACACAGGCAATTTCGATGTAGTCACATAATGCCTGCTGGGAAGAGGTTTTTATATATACCAGGAATATCTAGAAGGACAAGGATTGGGGGTGGGAGCCTTCTTAACTTCACTCCAAATAGTTCTTCCTCCTCATATGCTTCCATGTTGGCTTAAAGTTCTCCAAGTCACCAAGACGGAGCTCTACTTAATAATGATCAGAGGAACGTCATAAACTAGGTTCTTCCTCTAGGAAAAAATTATATATCCAAATACCTAAAAATATTCCATGTCTATATCTAAAGGAAGAAATGCCCCCCTTTTATTACATTTATATGTAGATGGGAGGCAGATGACAAACCAAAAGCACATAGTGAATAAATTATTCCATCCGTGATAAGTATAAAAAAGAAGTTCTGGTACCTTTGGGAACCTAGCTTAGGGTGATCGGGGAAAGTACCCCTAAGGAAGTGAGATTTATTTTGAGCCACGAAAGATAAATGAGTGTCAGCAAAATATAACTGGTGAGAAGCAGTAGAGTGAAGTAGCTAAGAGATAGGGTCAGGACCTACACTGACTAGATTTGAATCCTGGATCCAGGAATTAATAGCTGTGTGGCCACGGGTGATTTAATCTCTTTGTGCCTCGTTTCTTCAGCCAAAGGAGAGTATAATAAAAAGTTCATAGAATAGTTGTGAGTTTTAAATAGAATAATAAATAAAAAGCATTCAGGACAGTCTCTGGCCTATAATAGTCACTTAATAATTACTAGTTCTTATTGACATAGAGGAAATAGGCTGTGCAAAGACTCCAAGGGTGGAAGGCACCCAGTGTCCCCAAGTGACTAAGAGAATGAACTACGTGCAAGGAGGACCATGCTCCAAGGTGTAGCTGGCCTGAGGGGAACTAGCACCTGCAGTGATCATAAACTTGAACCTTATCTCACTCACCTTATTAAAATTTCATACAACGATTAGGAATAGGTGATTTCATTCCCATTTGCAGATAAAGTGACTGAGGTCCTGAGACACCAGAATACTTACCAATGTCAGGCAACTTGTAAACAGCATAGGCATTACCTAAAACCAGGCTTTCTGACTCAAAATCTTTCATTCTTTTTTTTTTAACTTATCTTTATTATTGAAAGCATTATAGGTGTCCCATTTTTCCCCCCCAGTTGACCCCCTCCACCTTGCTCCCACTCCCTCCCCAGGCCTTAACCCCATCATTGTCTGTGTCCATAGGTTATGCATATATGCATATAGCTTCTTTGGTTAATCTCTTCCCACCCTCCACCCCCCTTCCTTCTTCTCTCTGAAATATGATGGTCTGTTACATGCGTCAATGTCTCTGGATCTATTTAGTCCGTCAGATTCTTTTGTTCATTGGCTTCTTCTTAAAGAAGACCCTTCAACATTTTCTGTAGTGCTGGNGTATCTGTTGGCTTGCTTGGATGTATTTCATTTAGTTCCTCTTCTAGAGATTTCTTCTGTTCTTTCCTTTGTGACATGTTTCTTTGCCTCCA